TTTTGATGGCTGCATAATATTCCATGGTGTATATGTGCCACATTTTCCCTATCCAGTCTATCGTCGATGGGCATTTGGGTTGGTTCCAGGTCTTTGCTATTGTAAACAGTGCTGCAATGAACATTCGTGTGCACGTGTCCTTATAGTAGAACGATTTATAATCCTTTGGATATATGCCCAGTAACGGGATTGCTGAGTCAAATGGAATTTCTATTTCTAGGTCCTTGAAGAATCGCCACACTGTCTTCCACAATGGTTGAACTAATTTACACTCCCACCAACAGTGTAAAAGTGTTCTTATTTCTCCACATCCTCTCCAGCATCTGTTGTCTACAGATTTTTTAATGATTGCCATTCTAACTGGCGTGAGATGGTATCTCAATTATGAATATTTTTAATGTTTAACACTGCCATTGTTATATAGCAAGAGGCAGATGATGGTATTTTGTTTTAAATGCTGTCTCATTTTTCTTGGGGACTACAAAGTAGACTTAGATATTTTGAAGGAAATATCCCGTTGAAATAATGCATGAGTGAATATTTTTTTTCTGTGGATATGTTTTTATTTTTGGGTTTTCATGCTTAATAATAGTTTCAATAGCTAAATGAAGATGAAAGATAAGCTTAATTTAGAGATCATATGTGAAGTTCTTAATATAAATGTTTTGGTTTTCAATATGTTTCTATCCTTAAATCAAATTGCTTTCAAAGTAGGAAACTGAGCTTTTTTAAAAAATATGTTATTTAGGAAATCATGATGGCACTCATTATTATTTTTGAATTGAAATTCATTATTGATAGGACTTTGAACAGAGTGTCTCTGAAAGTGCTACACAGAATTCCATATATTTACCTGAGGCTACATATGAAGAAGAAATCATGACAATACATGGAAAACTGAAAAGTAAGAACCATTTTTAATTTAAAAGTCATTTGACAGTATGTTTATCTAAAAATTTGAGGACTGCTATACTGTATACTGCCTAAGAACATTATCCACTAAATTCATAGCATAAAAAAGGGAATTAAAATGGTGATAAGTTACACATCTTATCAGGTGTCGGAAACAGATTATATTGAGAATGCCAAAAACGGATCTTAATTATAACTTTAAATTCAAGATACTCTAAAATATGAGGTACCTCAGGAAATATGTAAAATAGGGAATAAATAATGAGGAAGACAGAAAATACAGGGAGTAAATGAGGGAAAAAGAAGCAGGTGTATCTAATGGAGATTGATATGATAAAATAATTCTTTAGATTCTAACGGTATGGTTAGAAAGGTGGGAAGAATATATACAAACTTCCAGTACAAAAACTAGTAAAAAAAGAATTACAGCAAAAATTTTCCACTCTGTCTTACTCGCTTGTGAACAACTTTAGGGATGGAATTACCTGACTATGTGAAGCTGTATTTTACCTATTAATAGTGAATATAAGCATAAGTGGGCAGCCACACATGAATATATTTTTTCAGTATGGATGCACATTCTGATTCAGCAGACTTAGGGTATGGTAATTTTAATTCTCTGATTATGCTGATGCTGGTGGTTCTTGGACCATGCACTGAGTAGCAAGGGTATAGACTTTTCATTGAAATAATTTGGAAGAAGAGCAATTGGCTAGGATGTCAAGACATAAGAGAGTCAGGGGAAAGCATTATTTTGATTTTATTTCTGAGTATGATTTTAGCCAGAGGAGAAGAAAGAGATTTAAAAACCAAAACAGAAAATTGTTTTCCATATCTTAGAAATATCTTTTTTGTTAAATTTTTCTTTAAGTTCTGGGGTACACGTGAAGATCTTGCAGGATTGTTACATAGGTATACACAAGTCATGGTGGTTTGCTGCTTCCATCCCTCCATCACCTACACTAGGTATTTCTTCTAATGTTATCCCTTACCAATCTCCCACACCCTGCTATCCCTCCTCCACCCCCCAGCCCCCAACAGACCCCAGTGTGTGATGTTCCTGTCCCTGTGTCCATGTGTTCTCATTGTTCAACATCCACTTATGAGCGAGAACATGCGGTGTTTGGTTTCCTGTTTTTGTATCAGTTTGCTGAGAATGATAAAAACCAGAAATTATAGATGCACAATACTACTTCTGAACAAGAGGAAGAAAGTGGTAGGAAATTTTATTTTAAAAATGTTGAATGGAAAGAATCAGGACCACAGATCTTGAGATTATTTTTGCTAAAGAATAGCAATTGTGAGGCATGAAAGTTGAGTGGGGGGTGGGAAGAAGCTAACTATGTAATTTTGAAGTTTCTGAGAAGGAAATTGAGTGAACTCACTTGAAATGCACTTGGAATATTTGCACTACAGATTAGACTATGGGTGCTCTAGAAAGTACTAGAAAAAGGAGGAATTACTAGATCTGACATTTACCGCAGTGACCCATTACACTTCTCTATTACCTTCAGGCTTCATAGTTATACAAATTTTTGATATATTTTTCCAAAATTTCACAAGTAAATTCTTAATATATGGGTGCATTAGAAAAAGACTATATTATTATGATTAGTTGTTTGGAAATATATTCAATAAAATGTTTTAAAGCTCATGCCTATATAATTCATTGACACAATAGTTTTATTTATCTTTAAACTTAAATGATTAGACATAAATTCCATTGATATAAAAGTATATATATATATTTTTGAAAAATCTTATTGATGAACAATTTATCATGTAAAATGAACTGTGTCATAAAGTTTGCTGAGTCAATGAAAGAATTTAATAGTAAAATATTAATTCCTGAAAGAAAACGAGGGTTGATATTTAATTAAACTTATCTGGGTTAATGGCTACTATCAGACATAGTGTTTTTTCGGGGGAAGAGAAAAAGAAGAAACTCCTTTTCTGAAGAAAAAAAATCATACCAGCTTTTTATGAGTCTTAGGTCAGGGTTGTGATAAGGAAGAACAGCCATTCATGACCACTCAGGACATTGAACTGATGCTGCATTTTCTCTTTCCTTGGGAGCCACTGCAATTCACTAAGAGCTTTCCCTGATGCCCTTTTCTTGGCTGGTATTTGTGCTCCTCCTTAGGGTATCCAAATGTCAGGCCAGTTTTGTCAGTCTAGTCCAGCTTGTCAGTGTAGTTTTGCCCAGCTGCATCCTTCTTTCTAGAGCTAAGTAGAGAATTCAGGACACTGGGCATTACACAGATTTGCTGATATCCTGAAGCAACAGAGAGTTCCTAGCAGTAAAACAAGGACAAAGCATATTCTTATCCGCTTCTGCCACAGCATGCTGTAAGCTGTGGTCACCAATTGTTGGCTGGGAGGTTGCACTGCACACCTCATTACAAAATTTGCTGACTCAAGGGCAGACTGATGTAACCTCCTTGAAACCTCCACTTTCTCATTTCTGCAGCAAGTTGAGGGCCTTCTCACATGTCCAGTATGCTGCCATGAGAACTAGCATTTCGGGGAAGCACCATACTAAGTTTACATATAACCAAAAGAATCATACAGAGGCTGGCTCCCCTGATATCACTCAGAAGCAAATTGCATTCCTCAGCATACACCCTCAAGGGTGATAACATTTCTCAGCCAAGTGAAAGTACACTTAAATAGAAGAAGTGACCTTTTTCATATTAGAAAGATGAGCAAAAATTTCTGAAAGTTGTAAAAACACAGGGTATCTTTGCTCCTCAACTCTTTGGAAAACACTGATCTTTTTTTTACTATATCCATCATTTGTTTTCTTGATAATTTCATTATTGTAAATATGCATTTAAGTCCTTTCATGTTTTTTCATAGCTTGATGGTTCATCTCTTTTCAGTCTTTAGTAATATTCTATTGTATGATTGTACCACAGTTTATGCACTGATTTTTTCGAGGGTATCTCCATTGCTTTACAAATTGGTTGAATTTTTGCATACATCTTCATGAGGCAGTTCTCTTATTTCTAATAATATACTCTGGTTTTGATTTGGGGTAATGCTAGCATTATACAGTGAGTTGAAATGTACTCTGCATTAGGTTATTTGTGCATTTCTATAAATATCTGAGATTGGGTAATGTATGAGAAAATAGCTTTAATTGGCTCACAGTTCTACAGGCTTTACAGGAAGCATAACATGGGCCTCTGCTTCTGGAGAGGCCTGCAGAAGCTTTCAATCTTGAAGGAAGGTGAAGCAGGAGCTTGCACATCACATGGCAAGAGCCAGGAGCTAGAGAGAGAGGTGGGAGGTGCCATGTACATTTAAATGACCAATTCTCATGAGAATCACTATTATGAGGACCATAGCAAAGGCATTGTGCTAAATTATTTGTGATAAATCTTCCCTTGTGATGCATTCACTTCTAATCAATCTTTACTTCCAACACTGG